TAATTGTGGTGCAGAGTAATCTTCACCAAACGAGACTCTGGCAGCAATAGCATCATCATGAAGCAATAGCCCTCTCGTACAGGAGATTATTGTTGACTATTGTAAATTGGTGCTTCAATAAACTGTCATAAATTAATTAATTCAACTGCGTAATAAAGTTATTCCTTTTTCTCTCCTAAGCGAAGCAGATTTATTCTTATCTCTATTTATCAACCCCTAACATTGAACGTAAGATTGTATAAAAAGTGTTCGAGTTATATGGCGCATCTGAACTCATCTGTCAAAAAATTGGTGCATGGTATGCAAAAGGTTGGTCACCCCTGGTGTATACGTTTGGGGCACAATTTTGTTTACCATCTTTGAAGCTTAATAATTGCCATGCTTTTTGTTAAAAAATTTTTGAAATTTTGCAGGGAAGTTTGTGTATTAGAGAAATTGAGATTATTAAATTTTGGTGGTTAAGGATCAAGGGGGTGGGGAGATAAAGGTGAGTCGTGTGTTGTATCTCAGGGTTGGACTTAATGGCAAGTTTACTCATTATTAGCATTTACAATTTTTTTTATGAAACCCAATCCCTACTCTCAAAATTAAGGTGTTTTGCCATTTTATAATGATTAATTTAAAAATATATAAAAAGTTTTTTTAATAAAAATATCATAATAGATGGCATCACCAAAATTTTTAATTTTGCCAGAAAAGTTAAGCAACTCATTGATGGGGTTTTTGAGATAAATTATAAATATTAATACTATTTACCATTGTATACTTAATAGAAACATACTTGGGTAGCCAGTTTAACTTTCATATTTTGAAAAGTGCTTGGCTAAACGTAATTAGGTGTTACTTTAGAACAAACTTTTAAGATGCCTCCTCTGGAATCCATAGCAAGCAAAGCTTGATAATGTTCCCATTTAATGATGCCATCATTCAAATGCTAAGTAAATAAACAAGTTACTATTTAAATATAAGCATTTAAATAAGACTACATGTAAAGTATGTCCATTGAGAAGCTGATTCCTGCCTGTTTTTATAAGATGAGGCGTATCAGAAAATATTTAAATGTTTTTAAATTGTCATCTGAAGGATGCATGGTATAATGTTCAGCATCTCCTAAAATAAAAAAATCACTAAACAGCTTCAATAAACAAATTATCATAGAATTTTTAAATTCACCTAAGCTTCCATTTAATCCCAGAAATTTCCACGTACTTCTGTTAGTAGCATTTCATTAATTAATTAATAGTGGGGTGCAGATGTCTTTTGCAAGCAAAATCTTTTGATTTGTAAACTTTGTCATCTCTGGGAATCATTTTCCACCACTTCAGTAAGAATCTTTAAGTCCTTTAAAATAAATTTATATTTTCTGAACATGTGGCATATCTGGCATTGCATCCAGTCACAAAACATGTTTTGCCCATAGTTAAACAGCACATTTTGAACTAATTTACTGAGAAAGGCACTTTACCACTAACAAATGAAGCAAATATTGGTACTCAATACTTTTTGTAAGTAGTCATAAATCATAAATAAATGAAACAACTATATTTTTCAAATGTATGAATGTAATAGAGCATACAGTTACATGTGAAAATTCCCAACTACAATGTGCCTTCTGATAGATAAGTTTGGACGGTTTTGAAACAGAGCTATCTCACCTTTCTTTCTTACATTGTAGTATAAATACTTACATGTTATAAAGTGCTTTCAGTAAATGGTCAAAATCAAATAAAAATTATGCCTTCTTTCGGTCTGTTATGTGACAGTTATCAATTTTTTTAATGTGTTTATTAAATGTTAAAATATTCCTGAATTCTTTATTATATTTGTATGTATTTTATTCTGTCATTACAATTTGTAATTAATATAATAAATTTATCCTTTTCCCTCAAAATCATTGATGTTAGTCAATAATTTCAAAGATCCCTAGATTTCTGACTAAATGTTTCATGGCAGCATTTCAATTGACACATTTTTGCATATGACCCTAATTACAGAGATAAAACATTATCCTATTACTTCAAATTGTTTAGATGTATGAAAATGCTTATAATGATGTTTGTGAAATTATGTGTGTTCAGCATCAACTTCCTTTTGTTTAATAGCTTGTACTTTTTTTGCATGTAAAGATGTAAATTTTATTGTATAATCCAAATAGGCCTACTATGTATAATTTTATACACTTGCTGTTTGTAGTGCCGCCTCTGCATAAGAATGCATTTAATTACAGTAATACCTTGAGTTAAATCGTAAGTAATGCGGACCGTAGACCTTTACGTAACTTGAATTTTATGTAAGTCGAATTTATAAATTGCGTAAGTGTAACTACATAATTAATAACTCAATACTATATTTAAAATTATATGTGTACTGTACATATTTTATTTATTATTTTTTTGTANTAAGTCGAATTTATAAATTGCGTAAGTGTAACTACATAATTAATAACTCAATACTATATTTAAAATTATATGTGTACTGTACATATTTTATTTATTATTTTTTTGTATAAAAGAATTGTTTACGAGAAAGAGTGCCAGGTAGGTAGATTTGCATATGTGCTTAATGTGCTTACAATTAGACTGAAAAGTAAAGGATTAGCAGAGCAATAAAGTACAGTAATAAATCAGTACAGTGTGAAAGAAAGAAAGTGAGAGAGAGAATGAATGAATGTTTGAAATAGAATAATTCTTTGTAAAATTAAATGTTATTCTACTCTGTTCTTTTCCAATTTTTGAGATTTACATTTTACGTAACTGTGAATTTATATAAGTTGCTCGTTACATAACTTGGGATATTACTGTAATATGCACTAAAGCAAATGAGGTGTCATTAATGTCACAAGTGTTTGTGATTAGCTTCAAACTGGCTAATGAGTGTGCAAATAATGAACAACTGAAAGTGCATCTAAAAAATAAAAGGAGAAATGTATGTATTGCTGCTTCTTAAGTTTTTACAAATTGGATGCAATAAACAACTTCATTTAACTCGACTTTCCTTGACTTTGTGTAAGATGAGATTACTTTCTCTAGAATTACAGTTGTGATCTATCCCTGCCTCCAGCAATTAAAAGAATATTGTATATTGTTTATTTATCTTACATTTCTATTATACAAGTGAATTAGTTGAATTAAAAATTTTATAAATCTTTTGAAAATGGTATTTTTCCAGAAAAGTTGAATCAAAACTTAGTTTTGTCATTATACAAGGATAAAGGATCTAAATGTGAAATAGAAAACTACTGTCCAATCATAATAGTATCTATTCTGGCAAAAATTTTTGAGAAGATTTTCTACTTTTATAAACAAATTCCATATTATTCACAGTAATCAATATGCTTACAAACGGGGATTGTAAACACTTTGTTGCATTTAAAACAATCAATAACATCACAACTTTATAAATCAAATATAGTAATTTCAGTATTTGTAGACTTTTCAAAAGCATTTGATAGCTTGAATCTGGAACTTTTAGAACTAAAATTACAAAATGTTGATTTAAGAGGAACTCCTTTAAGTTGGTTAAAGCCATATTTGTTAAACAGAACTTACTATGTCAAAATTGGACAGGTTATTTCCAGTTCATTTAAGTTAAACAAGGGCATTCCTCAGGGTTCAATTATAGGTCCTCTGTTTTCAATATATTCATCAATGATTTGTTCAATTATATATCAAAAGATAATATACTTATGTATGCTGACGATATAGTGATAACTTCTTCTCATACGAATGCTACAATTCTTCAAGAGAATTTAAATAACATTTTAAAAACATTAAACAGTTATATGGAAAATAATAGATTGGTAATTAATAAAAACTTCTCTGTTTTGCCAATAAAACAAAAAAGTCAACTTCGACCATCTAAAAATCAAAATAACTGATAACAACATAGAAAGAGTAAACGCTGTCAAGTTTTTAGGAATAACTTTTGATGATAATCTGCACTGGAACAGACAAATAGATGATGATGTTCTATCCTTGGCAAAGTGTATTGGGATAAAAATTCAAAACTTTTTAAGTACATTACATTTGAAACGGTTGTACCATATATGCATAGAATTCAAAACAAGATATGGTATTATTGTCTGGGTAACCACATCTTTATATGATGTCAATAAACTTCAAGTGGTACAAAATTACTATATGTGTTCAATTCATAATCTACATTACAGGAATCACTGTCAGAATTTACCATACCAACAATATTGATAGGATATGCAAAATTTATATAAAACAAGTTCTGTGAGAGAGTTACTGTATAAATACATAAAGGGTAACAAGGAAAATAGCTATCTCGGAAATAACGTAGGTAAATGTCGAAAATCAATACAAGATACTCTCAAGATCTGTGGATATAATCTTCCAATTGTTAAACTCGAGGTGGGAAAATCTGCACCGATCTTCCAAATAATTTCCTATTGGAATAGTTTGAGTAATAATCTGCGGAACATATCGAGTTACAAAATCTTCAAACAACAATGTAAAAATTTAAGTTACGGTAATTGTTATTAATTAATCTAAATGGATTTGAAAAATAATTAAATTTTTTTTCAGCTGGCGTCTTGTTTATTGTTTAACTAACTCTTTTTTGTTTTATTTGTTGTTCTTGTTCTAAGATGCTCAAAAAAGGCCTACCTGGCTACAGTGTCTTTTAAAAAAAAACATGCAAGTTTTCATTACAAATGTTTATTAAATCTAGCTCTTTGAAGTCTTCATTATTTTAAATGCTTGAACCTTGTACTAATGCTATATTTTTAATTACAGTTAATAATCTCTTATGTATAGTGTTTTTTCTCTATTACATATGTTTAATTTAATTTTAATAACATTTATATGTGCTTATTTATATTTATATTCAAATCTTGTACTTTGAACATTATTTTGGAATGTTTCTGTTTTCTAATTCGAGTGTATTTTGATGACGGTGTATCTATCTAGTAATCTGTCATTTGTGTTATCGAGCAATTGTTTAAACGTAAAACAAATATTTATGAATTATTACAGATTTTATTCTTGATGGTTCGGCAATAGAAGTAACCTGGGCAAAACCAGTTGACAGGTCTACCAAACAAAGAAGTCGCCCTACTTCGGGAACAGCTGTTAACACTTACGGACCCTATATCTATAGCCAAGCAAATTTAGACCCGTTTAATTATGGAGCCGCCAGTATGGTTTATCCACCACCCCCTCCTCCTCCTTTTCATGTTCCACAATCGAGTGCTACAGTAAGGTAAATGAAAAATTTTAGAAACTTTTTAGAGAAATAAAATTAATATTCATAAAATTTTGTATTTAAATATTATAAATTACCATAAATTCTCACTTAATTGCTTTTGTAAACACTTATTTAATCACCCATTGAAATGTGTTTCTTGGTGCTTAATGCAGTGCAACTGTTTATGCACGCCACAGCATTGTGCACAATGCCATTGTGATGTTCATAATGAGAGGTACTTAATTCCGTGAGCAAAAAGGTACCAAAAAAAAAAACACTTATTATTATACACAGCACAAAGTACTTTAATTCTCTCCGAACAGATTCTTTACATCGGATCCCAACTTTACAACTTTATAAATTTTATGTACATAGACGTTAAATACGTGTTTTCCAAATAGTTAACTTTCACGCATGTGACAATCAAACATGGGCCAAATTAACTTATAACTATCTTACAATTAAGGAAGATGGATAAACTAGAAGGAATAGGAAAGAATGGAAATACGTGGAGTTTTCTTGGATAGGACACAACTTCGGAGCTCCCCTTTATTCGTGACCCTTTTCTTGTAGTAGACCTTTCGGCTCTTTCTGGCTTTGTCATTTTTTCTCAAGGTTTTCTGTCCGTAGTCTTTTCTCTTTGATCCCTCGGCACCTGACAGTCTCTGATCGTCCTTCTCGAGATCTGGAGCAAACCTTTTCTCTGCTTACCTCTTCGGGATTCTCACCCAGACTGACCCCTTCTCTGTCCGTTTGACCCCAGGGCCTCACTCCCTCTTTTGTTTTACTCATTTTTGTGGAAACGATAATCCTACCCAAGGGCTAAAAGGGTTAGAGAAGAAAGTTCTAGAAAGAATTTAGAACTAAGAAACAGGAAAGAAGGCTAAGATTAATCCAAATAAAACATACAACTATCCAATATCATGGCTGACTGCCACACCATTCATTCTTGCAAATGGCTTGTTCACAATGCTATTTTCATTAATTATCTTTGCTTATGGAAGCAAGTGTATTTAAACTGTTCACACCAATTTCTAAAAATGCGTTTTAAAGAACAATAAAATGTTTACTTTATGACAAAAATTTTACATTTGACAAAGTACACGTTTCTCAGCAGACCTTTTTTTGTAAGCCACTGCTGGAGCCAGAGCTTTATCCTCCCTGTAGTTAACTTCCATCATAACTGCCCACAGTTATCTAAATATATAAAATTATTTGTCCTGACTGACTGATTCATCATCACCAGAGCAAACCACTGAACCTAAAGAAGTGAAATTTGGTACACAGTTAGGGTACATCATGAAAATGCACACTAAGAAGGGATTTTTTGGAATTCCCCTGCGGGGGCAAGAGGGAGAGGATTAAGGCTTAACCAGAAGAACGGCTTCTACTGTACTATTTCAGATGTGATTTTTTGTTTTTAACTACATTTAGTCTTCATTGAGTACTTGTGCATTAAATTGATAACATTTTAGACATTGTTATAAATATTTTTATCTATTTTGATCTTAAAAATGTTTGAATTTTAAATTCAAATTTGTTATTGCATATTGGTTTGATTATAGAATGATTGTAAACGTTCCAGAAAATTGATCAAATTGAAAACAGTTTGTTTGATTCTCGGCAATTCTCATCATTCTCAGTGGTAGGTGTTATATAACAATTACTATGGTTGTTGAAATACTGAATATAAATGGGGTGTGCTTGCAAAATCCTTGCAGGCAAAGCCGCGGGTAACAGCTAGTTTAACATAATAGTAAATATTTACAAAATTTTTAAAAATTGTAAAAAAAAAGGGCTTTGCCATATTTTAATTTTAAAGACATTTCAAAGAAAAATAAAATGTTTAATTATGGAGAAAGTTCCACATTTGACCAAGTACACATCATGCTCTTTGAACATGATGTGTACTCAACTTATTAGTGAGTTTTTTGATGGTAAGTGGTCAGGAGGGATAAACCCCTGGCCCTCTGCGAGTCTCACACTGCCAACCTTTTTGCTATTATTTTTGAAAAGATTTTATAAACTACATTTAATAAAGTAATTCCTCTGTAGTTACTACAATCTAATTTATCTCCTTTTTTTGTGAATTGGGAAAATTATTTATCTATTCCAGTTTTGTGGCATCTGTTCTTTTTTCCAGATTTTCCTAACAAGTTTGCCTAACTCCAGTTCCAATTTCACACCCCCTGCTTTTATCATTTCCGACACTATTCCATCCTCTCCATGAGCCTTGTTGTTCTTTAAAGTTGTTATTGCCCATTTCAGTTATGTTAGTCTTGGATATTCACATCCCCCATTTGCACTTTCTTCTCCTTCTTCATCAGAATCAACTTCTGTGTCCTCATCTTCTATTAGTGTGTCCATTTGACCCTCAATTGATCCTACTCCTTTGTTTAGTAGTTCTTCAAAATATTCAGCTCATCTATCCAGAATTTTATTTTTCTCACTAATGAGCACTCCTTCTTTCCTCTACAGAAACCAATTTTTGATTAAAACCCTTTCTTCTCTTCCTTAATATCTGTATAAAATTTTCTCATTTCATTGGTTCTTCTATTTTCCTCCATTTTTTTTAACTTTGAATTTATCCGTTCCCTCTTTTCTTCTTGCACAATTTAGATGCCAGTCTTCTCTTCTCTTTGAAGTCTTTGATATTGCTTTCAGACTTGTTTTGGATCATCGTTATCCTCACATTTCTTCTTTCCTCTAATGCATCTTTACAATCTGAATCAAACCAATTGTTTTTCCTTCTCTTTCTACTTGTACCAAGTACTTTTGCTACTGTTGTGATGACACTTGATCTTATATCTTCCCACCTTCTTTTGATGTTTCTTGGTCTCTGCCTCCTCGCCTTTGCCTTCATCAGGCTTTGTTCAAGCACTAGCTGATATTTAATTTTGATTTCATTCTGCTTTAGAGATTCAACTTCATATCTTACAGCACTATTTGCCCTTCCACTTCTAGCTTTGATTGATATTTTTTATCTATAGTTTGCCCTTACTAAGTAATGGTCTGTGCTACAGTCTGCCCCTCGATAAGATCTTGCATCTGTAATATCAGTAGCATGTCTTGTATCAATAATTATATGGTCAATTTGGTTTACAGTATCACCACCCAGTGAAGTTCATGTACCTAAATGTATTCTTTTATGAAGAAACATTGTTGTAGTAACCACCATGTTATATCCTGAAGCTAGATCTACTACTCATTTTCCGTTGTCATTACTATTTTCATGAATGCTATTTCTTCCAATGACTCCTTGATACACTTCTTCTCTTCCAATTTTAGCATTCCAATCCCCAAGCAAATCTTTTTTAGGTTTCTGTTTAAATTAAAAAGAAGAAAGTTCTGTTTTAAATATTAGTTTATAGTAAAAGTTTAATAGATTCAAAATTTAAAATAAATAAATATATTAAATGCTTTTTATAATACTTTTTATGTTTGAATCATCATGTTAGTTTAACATCATGTTTTGGTACTGTGTCTAGAACTTCCTCTAACTGACAATAAAATTCATCTTTTACCTCTTCACTCTTCTCCTCCGTCGGTGCATGAACACTAATCATTGTGATGTTAAAAAATCTTTTCTTTATACGTATGGTGGCTATCCTTTCATTAATGAATTGATAATTCAAAATAGGATATTGCAATTCTTTTTTAATCATAAATCCATTTCCCAATTGGCCATTTTCACAACCACTATAAAATATCAAATACAGTCGACCCCCCTATAACATGGGTTCCTATATCATGGTGAAAAAATTGCGATGGTATTCGTACAAACATGCTAAAAGAACTCGTATAATTCGTTAAAACGTCATCGCTGACTCGTGTCGCGACAGGATTGGTTGAATCTAGACCAATAGCAGATATTGCACAAACTGTTGAGTTTAAACAAGCGGCGGACCTACTAAAAACTGTTTATTATTTAAAGTCCATAAAAATTATATTTATATTAATGATGTCTCCAAAGTTCAGTGAATTTTTCGCAAAAAAATTAATTTATCAGGAAGCACGTGAGCGCCATTCGATGACAAGCTTCACAACAAAAACAAGCTTAAGCAATGGTGTAGTCAAATGGTGCACACTTGGTAAGTAATCCTACAATTTTTTGTTTATAGCATATTTTATATGGATTATTCCCAAAAAATTATACGTATTTTGGAAATGTTGAGTCAAATTAGTCTAGAATCGATTAATTTAATGGAAGAAACCTTTCAAACAGGTGTAGTCCGTAAACTGCATATGTGCCAGGCTGTGATTGGCTGGACTTGTAAAAAATGGATTCATAAAAACCGGAATGTATCTACCGTGTTATAGGGGGGTTGACCGTATTTATCTCCCTCTAATATACCACTGTCTTTCCAACATATTTCCTGAATAGCAGCAATTGTTATGTTATATCGTTATAGCTCTCTCTGAAGATTTTGAAATTGGCCAGTTTGGAATAAACTTCTAACATTTCAAGTACCTATTACTATGACATTTTTTCTTCCCGCCATTTTTTTTGCTTCTGTTTCCATTCGTAAAAATCATACTGCATTCCATCTCATTATCCTTTCTGTTTGTATGGTCAGTATCCCTTTTAGATCTGTTCAGTGAGTTTCTTGGTTGTGTCATTACAAGAAATTTTTACAAAGTAGGGGTATAAACCCAATGCTCAACCCCCATTTTGGAGGGCCATTTCTCCCGTCCCTTTAATCTATCTACCGTATGAATATGGCTTACAATGCTATGATGTAATTATTCATTACAGCTCATTGTTGTGTCACCAAATAATGAATAACGGACTCCAAAGAATTGCTTGGCATTGATAAAAATTTAATAATTTCAAAAATTTCCAAATCCCAAATATACAATTATTCACGCTTACAAACTAGAATATGCAAATTTGACTGGAAACGGTTGTCACGATACAACAGATGGCTCCCACGTACTGACAGACAAAAGAAACTTTTCTAGCTTAGGATTAACTTAATTAAATAATATTTCTTTCTCTAAATTTTGAGAAAGATATACAGAATGAAAGGTTCAAAGGGGTGACTGGTAATAGTAATCAAAAAAACCTTGGATCTGTCCCTTAGTAATTTTCTTCTTTACGTATTCATCCTCTGTCCTCTCTTTTCTCTCCTCTCGGTCCGCTAAAGTGTCCTTTCTTCCTGTTCGGATCTCCCTCCCATCCACCGCCAGTCACCCCCAACCAATGAAGTGTCAGCCCCTTTGTTTTAAGACAGATTGGACCACATGGGTTAACCAACCACATCGTGGTTAAGGAAACAAAATCCGGAAGTATGATTTTTCTGTAAGAAAATGGTAACAGGAAATTAAAGGAAAAATATAAGTAACATGGTTTAATAAAGTCACAGTTGTAACATTTTTACTAGTAAAGTTCCATTCAATCTCAATACCTCTTTTTGGATGCATAACCATTTTTCTCAATGAATGTAGTATAGTATATATAATGTATGTAAGTATAGTTATAAGATTGACAAGAATAAATTTGTTGTAACAATTAACTTTATTTATTGAAAAGGATGTTATTCACTAATATGCCTATAAAATTGAATATATTAGCAATTCTTTGATAATCATGTCACAATTGTTGATTTAATCTTTGTTTATCCATAATGTTTGTAGTATTATTATTGTTGATGTTAGAATACAGATAGCACTAATGTAAGTAAAAATTGATATCAATTCATAATTCATATAATAATTTGTATTCATATAATTTCCAACACTAATGTAATTAAAAAATATACAAATATATATTTAAATTACAAAACAATGCTAGTACATAAATTTTAATTATAAACTGTGAATTTTTGATAGCGGAGGAACAGTTCGAGTTGCAATTAGAGGTAGAGGAAGAGGTGCTGCAGGACTACGAGGTGCAAGAGGATATGCTGGAGGATTTGGAAGAGGAGCAACAGGTTATCGTAAACCTTTAGAGGTATAAAATTTTTGACATTTATGTTTCACTACTTTGGGGTAGCACCATACCTGACTATCCCACTGCTGAAAGATTAATTTCTGTCTATGTTCAATTTTCTGGCTTTACACACAGTGCCACCTATTGGCAAAAAATTAACAAAATAATTAACTAAATATAATTCTTACAAAAAAAGGATATAATTTTAAAAAATATATCATATTCACCAAATTACTGTGACAATCATATAGTGCGAAATAAACACATTATTACTGCAACAAGGACACCTAGCACTTTATTACATGAGTGTAATAGTGTTTTGCTCCTGTACATCTTACTTTTCCTGTTAGCAATAGAGTCCTGCTGATTATGTATCTAACTCCATTCAGGAGAAAATTTTTGAATTGAGATAACATGACTTCTGGATCAAACTGAAAGTTTGTATATAGTTAATCTTGGCTCCTGCTCTTAAGCCATACCTATCTGGTCTCAAATTTCATGTATCTAACTGCATTCTCAAGATTAACGAAGGCGGGACAGACAGCAGATGGATGACATTGGAAATTTATAGGTCTACAATGTTTTCTAAATGCAGCCCAATAAGTACCCTCCAGTAACCAAGTGGATAAAACCACTGAACACTAATAGTCTGTCATGGGTTTGCATATGGTGAATGGACTGACCACATGGAGTTTTCCCCTATTTGGATGTTACTACTAACATGAAGTAAAGTAAAATTTAAATAGGGGTCAGCTTTACATAAAAGTCTTCCCAGAATGCATCCTTCTTGGCAGATCACTCACATGTTGCATTGCTGTAACCAAATAAATCAACCTAATTCTATTAGTTTTACTACAAACACGATATTTACCTGGACATACTTAACTACCACGAAACCTGGATATTCCTGATTTCATCTCCCCTTATTAACTCATAAACCGATTGCCTCAAACTTCTTTCACTGATATAGCTTAAGACATTCTACCGTTCAGCCAAATTAAGGTACATCAACAATTTCAAGGCATAAAGTAGAGCTGGAAGTCTTTTTCTGTGCTGATGTGCATTTTTCCTATTTATTATCACAGTGACATTGCTTCATCCAAAACTTCCTGTAGTTGTAATCTGTGTAATGTGCACTTTATACACATGTTGAGTCTTACTGTCAAATCTGGTTCCACTAATCTTATGCCACAACTTTCAAAAGTTTCGTTTACTTAGATGTTTCTGCTGAGCTTTACTTTTTTAACCTGGTTTTACCAGATTTTGACGTGATCACATAAAACCAATTATTCTAGAATATTTACAAGATTTTTTTATTGAAACAAATCTTATATCAAGTCTTTTGGACATTAAGGTTAGCAACTTCGATCACATGTGGGGTCATTACAATCTATCCAACACATATCACTTTTCAAATATTAATAGTAGACTAGTATTAAGCAGTAGTTGTTGATCATCCTCTCTCCCAAGTGGAGGTCAACTACTACTTTTGGTTAAATTAGCATTGACCTCCATCCACAACAATTCCATCTTTTTATCAGACCCACTGGTATAGTGGCATTTGAATAGGAAAATTACATAATATGAGGTTACCAGCCTGCACAAAATATATTTTAAGTGGTTTCTGATGGTGTCAAGTTTAAATATTTGGTCTGTTTTTTTGTGAAATTTGATTGGTTGGCAGATTACCATTTGATATTTGTCTGTGAATGGAACGGTATGTTAGAGCTAACATTAGGAAAAAAATGCTGTCATAAAAATTTTAAGATACCATATTTTCAATTGCTGTCTACTTGACCAATGAAATTGTGCCATTTCAAACAATTCGAGCATCACAATAAACACGACAGTGTAGTCTAAAATAACCAAACTCTTTATAGAACTGCTGCAGATTTACTATACAAAGATTAGGAATTACATGTATGATGTAGCTACTTTTTTATATTGTTCAGGGTGAAAACATAATTTGTCGAAACTCATAGTTTCCTATTTTGCAGCAAACAGCAGAAATTGTAAAAAAGAACTGATTTTAAGCACCACAAAAGTATAGAATTGACTAGTAAATAAATGCAAAAGGCATTAAATACTACAAAATATGCCACAACTTTTAAAAGTTTCATTTACTTAGATGTTTCTGCTGAGCTTTTTATTAGTAATTTATTTATTATTTATTTGTAATTTATTTGTGCACATCCTTTACTAATAACATAGAAATGTGATTTAGCATGCTATCAGCAATGTTTTTTATGATTGATGCCTCAAGGGAGTTCAAAGCAATGACAATTGCTTGTTTTAAGTGTTTAACATAAGCATATTGACGATTTTGGTCATAAATTTGACGAACGAAGATTCCCCAAACTTTTTCTATAGGGTTGCAATCAAGAGAACAAACTGTCCAATCTGTTTATTTTCAAACCACTGTTTCATATCTCATGATACATGGATAGATGCATTGTCTTGTTGGAAAATAAAGAGGAATTCTTCTGAATCTGTTTGTATGGCAGCAATTTGTTATCCAGAACTTGCTGATAGTTGGCACAGTTTATGCAACAGGTAACAAATGTCAAATCCAATTTTCCTCTTTGGAGGAAAAGCACCCCAAACCATAAGACTCCCACCATTGAAGTTCCTTTGTGAAAAATACTTGAGAATGCTAAACCATCTGGCCCATCCGAATTAAATTTTTTTCATCCGGAAAGATTACCTAAAATACAAAAAGGTTGTTATTTGTTGTGCTAGCATGATAGTGTGGCTGTCCACAATTTTGTTGTATAATTATACTGTATATAGAATAAGAACTCCTTTCTCCTTTCTTATCATTCTTCTTTCTGCTTTTAACCCTTTCTTGTCACGTGACAGGGACTGTAATATTTGTGGGTCCTGATTGGCCAATCTACAAAAGTTAGACTGAGGTGAGGAGAAAGGACACTTTTGGGTTTGCCACGAGAGAGAGAGAGAGAGAGAGAGAGGTCACGCAAGAGTGACCGGAAGACTGTGTATAAGGCAGAAGGTGAAAAAGAGAAAGGGCTGAGATAGACAAGATAGGAACGGAAAGAAAGAAATAATTGGGATAGCCGTTCCAGAGAGTTCCAAGGAATCGCCTCGGCACTTGTTCAATAATAACTGCTTTGCCCCCCTTTGTATGCAATCAGATCATACATTCACCATGCACAAAATGAGAACCATCGATATTCACCCAGTTCAGGACCCACAGATCTAGCTACTGGTAGATTTCCTAATTAACCTTCCTTCCTTCTTTCTTGTAGTTATAGTATTAGGTTTAAGTTTAATTATAGATTTCTTAGTATTAATTGGGATTGTGTGTATATGTTAAATTTCTTGCGGGAAGATTGAACGAGAGGGGAGACATTGTAATTATATCTGTATATAAGTGTCTCCGTGACTGGCATTTCATTCTTTGTCAACTCATTTGACTAATAAAGCAATTTAATCTTTTTTGTCGTCTTATCACGTGTTTTACATACACACACTTTCACAATAGAACTAAATCAGCAAAAAACTTATCTTATTCCATTGATTGGCTGTATTTTTCCTAGCAAAATCGAGTCAGGCAGTTTTGTGCTCAGGCTTAAGAGCAGGGGCACTTCTCATTCGAGACCAAACAATGTTGTTGTTGTTGTTGTTGTGTAAAGCCCTTCAAACGGTTTTATGATGTACTTGAATACCCAAATAGTTTCAAATTTGATGCATGGATATGGTGGAATTAGAGCTGCATTAACAATTCATCTGCAGTCTCATGGTGTAAGCTTTGAAAGACATCCACTTCTATGCTTTGGTCCATAATTTGCAGGATTTGACAAATAATGCTGAACTACATTTTTTAAATGCTTGATGCTGTTTGCTACTGCCTGATGACTTAACACTTATCATTGACCTAGTTTTTTTACTGTATGCTGGCTGATTTAAGTGATTTTACTGTATTTTCTACTGAGAATAAAAAACGATTGATGAAAGTTAGGTGAAAAGTGAAAACATTTTCTGATTTTGGGGATATTTAATTATATATTTTTCAATTTTGATGTATGTGGTCTTTATTTTTATGTACAGTGGAACCCCGGTTAACGAACGTCCTGGTTAATGACCAAATCGGTTAACGAACTATTATTTTGCAAAAATTTTGTCTCGGATAACGAACAAAATTCGGATAACTAACTTAACGGCTTTTTGTGTCAAATTTGTAAGCTTGCCGACTTTTAGGGAAAATCAGTTAATCATGTGTAGGTGATGGTCTAGGGTCCATTCGTACATTGGTGATGGCGGAGGAGACAAAGATGACAAGTATTTTATAGTGAAAATCATTTATTAGAATGGGAAGATGCTTACATATTTGAGGTAGTTGGAAATGGCTTATCTACAGTATTTTCTCTCAGCACTGAGGAGTGGCGTATCGCTGGTCCTACGATAGTGCAAGCTGATCAGTCATAGCCCCAGAACGGACGAGATGGGTTCGCTTGGTCACAGAAGCGATGGTAGGTGATAGAGCCGCAAGACTGGAGCAGTCCGCGAGACACAACACAAATTTTAGCGGAAACAACTTCAGGCTTAATCCAGACGAAGACGACACAGATTAATCGCCATAGAATTTTTAGGAAAACTGCGTTTTGACCTTGATATTCGGGGTTTTTATAGTATTTCTTCCTTGAATCTCACCTTACGATTTGTCCTGTGTCCCATTCCTCGCTTCCCGATTGTTTTCTTCTTTGTCTCCGGGTGAAAACCGAAACCAGATCAGGTCACGAGAAAGGTTTGTTCCGAGGCGTTTATTTGACACCTGTTCGTCGACTCTGATCGGAGATTGTTGATAAACCTATAAGCCTTTCGCTCATAATTTAGCCTATTGTTTCTGCTATCTGTCATTTTAGAACTTTAACGATCGTATGTGATGTTTTTTATACCCGTCAAATCTTTCCTTTTTTCTGAAAATTTAACGTAGATCAACTGTTTATGAGCACGTTTTCCTATATTTTCATTAAAGAAAACCCATTTTACAAATAAAATTACAAAAATACTGACGGCTAGAACGGATTAATTGTATTTGCATTAATTTCTATGGGGAAAATTGCTTCGGTTAACTAACGGACTCATGGAACGGATTATGTTTGTTAACCGGGGTTCTACTGTATTGTGCTTTAATGTTATTTGGACATGTCTTAGAGATAGAGATAAAATGAAAAATAATTAAAAAATGCAATAAAGTTTTTAACATTTGTCTTTTTAAGTAACAAATATCAGTACATTGATGAATTTATTTTGTGAATTTAGTATATGAACATAATTCACCAACAAAAACGGGATCAAAAATTTCACACATGACACCAACAAGAACATCTAGTATATAAACAAAGTGAAAAAAAATTTATTTCAGTTGAGTTTACTATTACAGGATTTTTCTTTTCCAAGATTCTGGTTATGGTCGATAATCAGCGATTGTTTTGTCCCTAATTTCTTTCTAGCATTGCAAAAGTTCAAAAAATAATATCTGTTCATGCATTACAATAATTATAAACTAAAGCTATGGTAAAATGATCTTAAAAACTAAAACACAAAGATGTGGAATGAGACATATGAAGAGGATAGAGATAGAATAAGGATAGAAATACCTGGGATATTTTTTCTTTGATTGAATGATGTTCCTTTCCGATGAAGAGAGGGTCCACTAGGCAGTCTCTGTATAAAGTTCTACTTCTTTCTTTAGGTGCAAAACGCTTTGATACCTTCCTTTTTTTCCTTTTCTTTTCTACTCGTCACAAAAGTTCACTGCACAATCCATGGACTATGCTTGGGTCACCTGCCCCCTCTTCTCATTTGACTCTGCTCCTAGCACTGCTGGTCTTTTTCTTGGCTTGAGCAAAAGAAAGTCTGTCCTCTTCTTCTCTGATGGTTGAAAAGTGCCTTGTGACTTTCTTCCTAACACTTCACGTGACTTCTCTCTTTATTTTTCCCAATGATTCCAAGAACGGACCCCCTTGTTGACATGAAAGAACAAAAGGAGACAGAAAGTTCTTGAAAAAGAAGGAACAAAAAAAAATGAAGGGAAAGATGTTAAGTGTAAGAATAAAACAAACAATATGGCGGGCAGCCACAATTTATAATAATGACGTACTGTATCAATATTATTAGTAGACTTTCCTCTGACTCTACAGACTTACTACTCTGTAGCGGTTTTTCATAATTGTGTTGGTTTAGCAAATGTGGATGAGCTGGCATTAGCACTATCAGAAATTTAGGAATCTGACTTTTGCATTGAGAATATCTAAAAAGTGTATAAATTATGTAATATTATATGAACTATACAGATTTAAAAATAATAACAAAAATTACATGGATTATTTGTAGTTTGATTTCAGTTATGCCTAGAACATAATCGCTACACTTTTGTCAGATAAATCAATATAATCATCACTATATTTGTTCATTTCTTTATTAATGAATAAATTTAAAAAATTCCTGTTCAGTACATTTATGTGTAATATCTGAACTTAACTCACATATACAAAATAAAGCAACTCAAAATATGGCAACAAAATTCCAAATTGAACAATGCACACGGTTCTAAGAAATAGCTTATATTTCAAATTTCTGAGAAAATAGTGCCCGCTGTTAGTTAACAGACACATTAAAACACACAAAATTCATATTTTGATTGCTGAAAACATAATGTTACATTTTCAGCAATAACAACTCGTGAATTTGCAAAAAATGTTAGTATGTCACAGACACGTATCATTGAAACATTACATTGACTCGAAATGGCTGTAAAACATGTTGATTGTGTTTTGTACTCAGTTGTTTTTTTCATTTATGAAAAAATGAACTGAATTGAGTATAATTTTGTCTGATGAAGGTAGGCAGCTATAAGGTTTTATTGTATTTTTAAATTGATTACTCATTTTTGTCTTAGAGAACTTTTTACAGATGAATGAAAAAATAAAAATATTTGTTATTAACCAGAAATTTGTTCTGGTGGGTGGTGATTGTTTGAGTGAGTATCGATGTACCATTGTATTTGAATAATGCAATGTTGATATATGCGGTAACATAGAGAAATTATTAATCACATTAATCAAGGGATACCTATATTAGGTAACTTGTATACGAGTATAGTGGAAACCTGTCTACTATGGAAGAGTTGTTTCATCCCTTGGGATTCCATTATAGATAGATTTGACTGTACAATATAATATAATAGAAGTATTAGAAGTGAGAAATAAGCTAATAATTTTAATGTTTGTTCTTATTTTTCCTGGGCAATGCTAGTAAGAAAAGAAAGCATCATAACTGTTTGATTTGTTTAATTTCTTAATTAAATATTATTTTATATATAGAAAATATGTTATTACAGTACATCTAATTAATACATTTTTTTCAGTCATCAAGAACATTCAACTATCATTTTATTCTGAACTTCTTTTTAAAAGATGCCATTAATATGTGCTGCCACTTGCAAATGTACCAAGATAACTGATGCAACCCACAACATCTACTGTAGTGGAACGTCCCTAGTCTTCTCTTTGGAGTTTGGATTTCATAAGTGGCAATAAATTTGCACATTAAACAAGAATTATGGGTGGGATTCTACTCTGAAGTGATAATCAAAATTTAATTAAATCACCCAAATTTAATGATCATTAAAATTTTTAACAGATGATGACTTATATGTACACTCATATTTAGTTTATATTTTTTATTAACTAAATTACTTAATTAGCTCAATTATGACAGAAAATATTAGCAATTTTTTGAAAACTTCTTAAATTAAACATTTCAAAATTAATTGACCAAGACTTTTTATCTCTCATTTATGGAAAATGTGAAATTTACTTCAAATTCTATAAGCATAATATTTCTATCATTTAACATTTAAATTTAATAAACACTTAATGTAATTTATTTAGAATTACATTTAATTTCAATTAAATGTAAAAAATTACAAGTACTAATTGTTATTATTATTAATATCTTCTCTCTCTTTTTTGCATGTAATCTAAATAATATCTTTTTACAGCATCGTTTCATAGAACTTCAACCTAATATGGAACTAATTCCTACTAATCCATTTACTTTGAAACCTATGCGTACTCCAGTTCAGGTAACTGAAATTATCAGTTATGTAAAATATTTAATTTAATTAAATCGGTGTCAAAAAAATTAGATTTGTTTTGTTTTTAGTAAATTGCATAAAGCATTGAAAGGACTTTATATAAGTTTCAATAAGTTTAAATTGATGTAAAAGAATAATAAAATTATTTTCTTAAAAATAGAAATTCATCAATTTAAAAATTTTATTAGTTTTCATTTCTGAATGCAAAACTGTTTTAAGACTACCAAAATCATTGCCGTGGTAGGTACTCCGGCTTGAGGGAGTCTCGAATTTCATAAATATAACTAAATAACAGGGTGTCCAATGGACTCGATAACCTGGAAATCTCGGGGAATTTGGTATTAAACCCGGAAAAGGAAAAAAAATATTATTGCAGTGCTTATAATGGAAAGGGAACAACTAAAACAATTTGTATGTGCACATTGTTGTCTCACATTATATGAATGATGAGCTAAGATTACATTATACATGCTAATTAAATTTAAGTATAATTTTTATACAAGTATATAAGTTAATATTTACTCCAGTGTTGTTAGAAAATACAAATTTGAAATATGTGGCTTTAAATTGGTACATGAAAAAAAATGAGCTTTTTTCAATTGTAAATTGCTTATGTTTAAGTTGTCTCGTGGGATTCACTGAAAAGCAGTTGGCAACCCTAGCTACAAGTCAGTTTTCTATGGAAATGCAGTTGTAGAAGTGGTTTGATCACAACAGTTTCAAAGCTCTTACCGAGTAAATGGTATATACATGGGGGGACCCAAAAAAACCGGATTTTTTGTATAAAAACTTTATTTATTAACTTTTACAAAATTTCTTCAGTCACCTTCAAATTGCTCTCTATTAGATGCGATGCACTTGTGAAGTCTTTTTCCCCACTGTTTGGAAGCATCTCTGGAACTCTTCAATCTTGATATCGTCCGGTGCCCTTAGCGAAGCTGTTTTTACTGCCTCCACATCATCAAAATGCTTTCCTTTTAGATTTTTCTTCATTCTCGGAAACAGAAAAAAGTAGCACAGGGATAGGTCTGGTGAATACGGAGGGTGGGGAACGACAGGCCGTCCCCGAGAGGCCAAATTGTGGGTCACTCGTAAGGCCGTGTGTGCGGGGGCGTTGTCGTGATGAAGGAATGAGTCACCTGCTCGCCAAAGTTCCGGACATTTCCTTCGCACATCCTCTCGCAGACGTCTTAACACTTTTTTGGCGGATTTTTTCTACGTTTTCATCGTTTCGATTTGTTGAAGGACGCTCAGAACTTCGCAGGCGGAACAAAATAACAGTAAGAGAAACACAACACTACGCTCAAACATAAACCTACAAATTGACGCCATTTGCACCACTGTTTTGTGAAGGTCTCTACTAACCCCACGTAACGGGAGAACTCTCTACTACGTCTACAAATGGCAGCACGCTCTCAGTTTGGTTTTTTTGGGTTCCCCCTTGTAGAATCCAGCTATACTTCAGTAATGTTTACAATTTATGATTGCAGGGTTTGGAACTGGTCACCATTTTAACTAAAAGTCAATGTTTTCATCTGTCATTATTTTTTCAAACTGTCATTAAGAGTCTCTTTTTGAAAGTTGTTACGGTACAGTATTTATCCTATTTTAATGTGCACCTTTTTCAACTTTTTGAAAATTGAGAAATGAAGTGTGCATTAGATTCAAAGTATAAGTAAGGAGCTTGAAAGCAAAACATGTTAACTGACATTACTGTCATTTTCAGTATTATAGCATGTTAAACATATTAACTGTAATTTGAACAGATTTAATCATGGTTAATTGATTTTACCTCATTTGAGTGTCAACCATCTATTGAAATTGCATTGATTTTAATAGTGAAATTATTTTAATTAAGAACTTTTACAGGCTACAAATTTTTAATTTACAGTTGCAAAATAATAAACGTACATTTTATTTTTTACGAAATACTAGATTTTATGATGATAAATAATATTTTTTTTTTTTAATGAAAGCAGTAGTTTGATCAATAATATGTTCATATAAATTATATGTAATATCTGGCTAAATAAACTTCATTTAATGCAGAGATGTGAAATATTTCTTTGTGAATGCATTTCTATGCTTCCATTTTTTCTTTTAATAGCAATATGAAATTAATGGTCACTTCTTGGTCAGTAATTTTTTGACACCTGTCATTTTTTTAACTGTTTCCTTAATAAAAGTCTGTCTGACCTTGTGATTGTAGATTTCAGGTAGTAAATTAAAACATTCTGTTAGTTCCATTACTAAGGTATATCTCTATACAGTGCATACAGTAGACCTCGGATATGACACTAAAGATTGGAAAATTAGAAAAGTTAGAATGAAGGGAGTAACCGATAGAGTAATATTAAAAATTTGAAAAGTCTGTGGAAAGTGCTTATGAGTTATAACCACCAAATTGTAGGAAAAGTTGCCACTAAAATACAGATTGACCAAGGGACTGCCATAACTAAATCCAGCTTATGTAAGGAATAAAAAGAAAGCACAAAAAGTGCTAGTTGTTCATTCAAAACTCTTATGGCTAGTAACTGGATAAATAATTCTACAGCTGATTAAAATTGTTAAATAAGCAATACAAAGACATTTTGTCATCTCCAGGAATTAATGATTTTGGTTAAACACTACTCCAGACATCATGACAGGTTTGATTCTTTTTGGCATAGTCTGTCACATCAGTATGGTGAAGTAAAAGAATTTGAAACATTTGTAAAGATGATTATAATAATGTCCCATGGTAATGCTCATACAGAATGTGGATTTTCCACCAACAAAGTATGCTTAATGGAAAACCAAAAAGAAGAAACATTTGTATCTTAAGTAATTACGTGATGTAGTCATGTCATGTCAGCTAGTGGGTTGGGGAAATTGAATATAAACAAACGTCACTAAAGCCCAATACAGTACCAAATTGTTTTATAATTTATTAGTATTATAGCCATTATCTACCCCGATGACATACGGCATTGGTTGGCTTGTAGAAATTGAATATACAAGGTATTAAAATAGTTTATCCATGCAACTGGATTGCAGCCAAGAGATACAAAAAAGCTATGATAACTCATAAACAGAAAGAAATAAGGCAAAGAGAAAGTGTGGAGTGAGAATTTGATGGCTGCAGAAATGATGAAAGAGCTAAAGAAAAAAATGATGATGATTCATGCAGAAGCTAATGAAGAGATTGGGGACATTAATGCACATTTGAAAATCACAAAATAATTATATTCTTTATTAATTATAGAACAAAGAGTATGAATATTTTGTGATATTTACTCAGTGTAAATTGCATAATTTTGAAAAATTGTATTCAGTTTACATTATAAGGTTGACAGTGCCAATTTGAATTTCCATATTTTAATAAAATTGTTGTGTTGAATAGACACGACAATTATATGTGATGATATATGATTATATATGATGTGTGCTGCTTGGCTATGTTTTGAGCTACTCAAATATTTTTACTTTATTTGTTTTTATGTTCAAACTGGAAACACTGACGCAATAAGGGAGAAGTACTTAAGGGAGCATTAGGTTGCGATGTGACCTTTTTTTTGCTCGTGTGGAGCTGAATTAAGTTATAAGTTTCTGTTTGTGCGACAGTTTTACTACTGTGTGTTGTGATTAGTTACGGGACAAGGATGGAATCTGTGTCCATCGAAGGCATAAATCGTGGAACTTTTGATTTAATGTGATAAAATGATTAACCTACTAGCAAGTGATGTTCCCAGAGGAGTATATTTGAATTTTCTGGATAAATTTTGGTGTTGAACTTTGTGACGAACTTTTGTGCAGTGTATTCAGCGTCTAAACTCATATTTGTGACACGGAGAGTTCCAGGAGTAAGCAGGACTGTATCTCATGAATTTTTTGTTTGTATGTATGTGTAGATATTGGTTGTATATAAATTTAAAAATAAATACCCTTATTTTGTTTGTCTTCCATATCACGTGGTGACCACACTATCTCTTCCACACAATACCACATTAATTAAAGTTTATTGATGATATATGATGATATACAATCTTCTGCACATTTTGAAGCAACAATACAGGAATTTATTAATCAAAATGAAATAAATTAATCATATTTTATAATAAAGGAAATTGAACAGGTCTTATAACTGAGCTTCATTTGGTAACACCAAATAAATTATGAACTGTTTTTGATTTTGTTAAATATATCACTTGCACAAGTTATACTTTCAAAGGTTGTAGCTAGAATAACTTTACAAGTATAAATTACACGCAACTATTTTGATCTTCTTCAAAGACACACTGAACCAAAAAGTAGCGGACTCGACAAAGACACATCCCGTGGTCCTTTATTAGTTAAAAAAAAGAATAAGGGGTAAACACAAATCATTGCCACACACATATATGGGTAATTATGGAAGAGAAATTTAACAGATTTATTCAGTGAGTTGTTTTCAGTTAGTCGGGGAAAAATGCAGGTTTTCATCCTGGAAAACCTGGAAATCTCAAGAAAATTGGAAATTGTTGGACACCCTGTAAATAATGAACAGACAGGATTTCCCACTTAAAATAATTTTTTTTTAAAATGTCTGAATTTTGAAATGTAGCCCGCATTTTGATTTCA